TTTCTGCATAAAAAATAAATATTAGACATAATAATTGGGTCTTATGAGCTGGGGAGAAAATCTAGACCGCATTCGGAAACTACAAACAACTGAACAAGGTCTTGATTACCAAGTCATAAGACAAGCTAATTGCAGGTAGCTTCAAGCATTTAGCTCAGTTGTGCAATATCACATTTTTTACCTGAGTCATTAATTTTTGCAGGTTTCTTTAATTTTTTGGAATCYTTTGGTGTGCTCATGGTTTTCTTCTTGGACTTTTTAGGGGCTTTAGGAGTCTTTTGGCTTTTGGATGTGCTTATCTTTTCTGTAAAAGAAATGTTGGATAAAAATCTATTACAGTGTATGCAGTTTTTTTATTGCTCTATTTTATTATTTACCTTCTGGCTCATCAGTGTCACTCTCTTCTTCTTCTTCAAAATCTGGACCAAACTTTTTAGTTTGTCTCTGCCTTTTTTTGGGTGTTACAGAAACCAAATTTTCTGTAMCATTWGTACCATCTAAAATCTCTTTAAATGTTTGGTCGGCATCTTTTTTCGATTCTGAAACAATAAATTGAAGCCTATAGAAAGTGCAGTCTATTGGRCTAAGTAAGTAAAACTGATGCCGGGATGTGTACTTATAAAAACAATGGAATGTCTTGACTTTTGATCCTTAATGCAATGCTAAAAGTTTTATTAATGTGTAATTCATTTTTCTAACCATGTATCGTTTGAATGCAGCCTCCCCATATATCCTTCCTATGTTGCATGCTGACTTCAGCACCAGCCTTTTTCTTGTCACCATTCATAATAATAAACTTTGAACAAGTTAGCACCTCTAACTCCTCCATCTGCAGTGGCACTCCGTTTTTGCTCTTCCAGGAGACAATGGCATACATTGTTGAGTAATTATTCTGAACTGAAAAAAGAAAAATGTAATATATGATTTTTCAGTTTTACATGTAAGCTTATTTTATAAGTTATCTAATCTTCGATCACACGGACGGTAGATTTTAACCACACGGTAGATTTTATAATAAAGCAATGAACTTAACTTCTCGTGATGCATKAATTCTTAGACTATTTCGTAAATTCTACRAAGCATTTTTTTACACGGAGTTAATAAACAGTCAAACATTTTYCCGCGCAATTGCCAACTTATAAAACCCATCATGCACCGTCCAGTACAAAGGCGTGAAGGCATCGGAATTTAAAATTATATAATATCTAGAATACTAGTACTGCTGTCATTGAGAGGCTATRATAGCTGTTGTTGTGTTTATATACATATATTCACACTAAATCTTAGCTATGTTAAGCAATTTTTCTAGAGCAAATCTATCATGGATTCTCAGTGCTTATATAATGACCGTTGAAATAGACAARGTACATGCACGCTTAGAACTCAGTCACGTATATATTATCTGGGTCCACAATCGAAGTTAAAAAAGGACGCCAATGTAAGTAGGCTCAAAAACGCTAATGATTTTAGAAATTTTGATGTAAAACTTTAGTTAAGTTATAATATTAAGCTTGTGGGCCAGCGCACGTGCTCTAACAGCTAGAGTAAATTGTCATTGTTCACCAATGAATTATAAAACAATGATAAACCTGATATGGATTAATTGAAATACTTACACTATAATTGCGTTCCAGTCAGAAATAATTCTTCGAATTAGACGYTATAAACCAACTCTCGGGAACAGGACGAGATCAGCGCTCTTTGAAGTTAACTGCCAAGAAGTAAAGRCGACTCRCCGSGTTGTTGATTTTGCATCAAATTTCTTRAAAAGGATTKCCATTGGCTGTTAGAGTTTTATAGTTGCAGTGTCAATTTACGGGAGAGTTGAAAACACTGACCCCCGGTCCGCGGACCCCTCCATGNCTATGGACTGTGTAATAAGTTTCTTTTAAAAAATTTTCATACAAGGAAAAATAAACAAATACAAAACAAGGTTGAATACCTATGCTTTCAGAGTATTTCTCAAGATTGGTCGACCTCTACGGTTTCCAGGCTCATAAATGTCCAAATGAGATTTAAAATCCCTCCCCGCTTCAAAAACAATTCATCAAAATCCAGACCCCCGGCCAATCCTGCTGATAAAAGCATGTCACTATTTAATACTCCGCTAGTTCTGGGAGTTGGGGACGGGGTTTTCAATTGACTTGTGCATTAAGTTAATGATTTTACCTTTGTCACGTCAGTCCTCTACACGTTATATTTTCATTTGATTTTTTTTGAATGCAAATCTGCACACTATAAATCAAGCTGTTTAAATTTCAATCTATAATGTGGAAAGCTTAAGATCGAAGCACGAGTGATTGTGGTTCCAAAAAAACAAACAAATAGAAGACTACTGACGTGACAATGCGGCCGACCGACAACGTGACAACTGTGACAAGACAAATCATTAACTTAACACCCTTTATTGGATGAGCAAATGCAAAATAACCTTTGCCAAATCTATTATTTGGCATTTGCAATGTTTTCATTGGTGGTCCGTGAAGGTGGTCCATGGAGGGGTCCGCGGACCGGGGGTCAGTGTTTTCAACTCTCCCGTCAATTTACATTCCTAGCATTCCTGAATAGGGTAGGTAGGACTTGATTAATCATGCTTTCACGTGATCACTCGGCAAAAGTTGCCCAGGAAAAGGAGTCCATGCATTGTTGGTTGACCACTTACTAGTAAATATGTCCAATTCTCAAAATTCGAAGTGGAGAAAGCGGTGGATTTATGATTCCGAAGCTTCAATTCCAAGGACTTCGAAATGGAGGAAAAAAAAGAAGTATGCTGATACTGCTTCCTGCGAAATACCACAAATTCATCCCATGAAGCTTTGAACTACGATCAATCACTCCAGGATGACATTGAGTTGAGAAACCATGCTTCTCCGTTAAAAGCAACGAGGAACATTTTTATTGACAATGATTTAGCAACAAACCAAAATGAAATTCCAGAGAGAAACTCACATGACTCAGAATTACTCGAAGATTGGGGTAAGCGTGTAAATATGAGTTTATATATTTGAGTCTTACGGTAAGCATTTGCTGRGAATTTAACACGTACACAATGTGACCCTTCCATTGTTTTGCATAATTAAGAGAGCTTAAACTTTTACTAAAGAGACTTTTATGTAATTAAAAAGATAATTGAACATGGTAGATAAGCTTAAGTTTATATTTTTAAGCTTAATTACTAATTCACTGACGTTTCTGACGTTTTTGTTTACCAGATGATTTGTATAACTTAAATTAAGCTTATATTTTTCAAACGTTTCTCACTAAATAAAATAGCTGAAACTTTATTGGGATACAAAACAGTGAATTTAATAATTACTTTCGGCTTGAAACCGCCCGATAAATTGAACTAGCCTCATGACCGATAGTATTTTTAGATCAAATTGTTCTGAGAGTTGAATATGAGGTATTTGAGTTTTTCTTACAATATATTCTATTGTGCTTATCAATGGGGCCATCAATTCTTATTATTTTCTATGTGTTATTTCTCTTTTTATTAGGATATGATCAACCAAGCGTTGCTCAAGAATCAATAGATATGTTTGACCAGGACATGTGGACAGTCATATCTTCTGATAATGAGTCTGAACCTGAATTAGCAACATATGGCACTTCATTGGAAAACTGTTCTGATAATACAATAAACAAATGCTTGCCAGCTGAACAAAATGATGAACATGAACCATTACTTGACAATTTGACAATTAGCGTCGATATACCCGAGATGGGTTCCTTTAGAGAAGCACACGACAATAACAAAGAAGAAGCATTTGAAAATAAGCCACTTTATGAAAATTCACCTATAAGTGTTGGCGAGAGTGCACTTCTAATAATGGCATTTGCTGTACGTCACAAGTTGTCTGGAGTAGCTCTTGAAAACTTGCTAGAAATGATCAGCATTCATTGCCCCGAACCAAACAATTGTATGATTGAAATGAAACAATTTAACCATTTCTTTCAAGCTTTGAAACATCCTATCACCAAACATTTCTACTGTCCAAACACAGCCTGTAAAGTGTACATTGGTGATAAAGAACCTGAAAATGGAATCAAATGCCATGTTTGTAAAGAAACTCTCAGTAATTCTACATACTTCATAGATATACCTATTGTTGAGCAGCTCAAGACAATTTTGTCACGTAAGTTTAAGTAATTAAAAACAATTAAGGTGACATTAGGCAACATTGTTTAAACTYATTTAACTATGCATATCTAAAAATAAAATGTGCTGAGCTTTRAATATTACATATTATATGATATCACACCTGTACACATTCTATACACAATATATTCCCTAATGCTTAAATGCACTATTATAATTAAGATGTTCATTTATGATTCAGGCCCAGGGATGCTAGAAAAACTGAAGTACCGGTTCACACGTGTGAAGATGGATGATGGATCGATTGAAGATGTTTATGATGGAAAATTGTACAAAGAATTTTCTGATAATGAGGGGTTTCTCTCCGATCCAAACAATATCTCACTCTTGGGAAACACTGATGGAGTAGCACTAATCAGGTCAACAAGCAGTGGAGTTTGGCCAATCTACCTGGTTATTAATGAGCTACCACCCAAGGAAAGGTATGTGCTATAATCTTTCCATTTTAATAAAAAAAAATAAAAATATATTTAATTGTACCCACTAAAATATAATAATCATGGAGAAAAAAAAGTGGATAAAAAAAAGTGCAGATGATTATTCTAAATCAAATACTAGATTATGATTTCATCTCAATCATTTCTTGTATTGTTATTGTTGTAATTTTGTTTGCAGATTTTATAGAAGCAATCGCATATTTGCTGGACTGTGGTTTGGAAAAGGAAAGCCACACTTTCCTACCTTCCTGAGACAATTTTCTTGTGCGATGCGCAAGCTTTACTACAAAGGTAACAAATTTTCCTGGTCATGTACTCAAGATGTAATGTGATTTAATTTGTATGTGGAATTGTTTTTGATGGAAATAGCAGACAAAACCACCATCAAGGCTTTGTTTTTGGAAATGTCAGTTGATGCTCCTGCCCGATGCATCTGGCAGGGTCTAAAGCAATTCAATGGATACTGTGGTTGTGGGCGATGTAAAGAGCCTGGAGAGCAATTGGATCTTGGCCCAGGCAAAGGTAATTCAAGAAGAAGGTGCCACATATATCCATTCAACCAGGACTATGCTGCCASAACTGGTCATGTTGGTTGTCGAAGTCATAAAACGGTGAAAGAACAAGCTTGTGAGGTTTTGAGAGAAAGAAGCAAAGGGAATAAGAAAGTAAGTTTTACCAGTTCAAAATTATTCATCTCCTTGAAAAGTCTATGAAATGAAAACACCTCTGAAAGGACATTTAATTTCAGTTTTTGTTTACAGCTTTTTCAGAAAATCATACTAAATTTATAACATTAAAATGAATCCACATCATTGTTAGTCATGCATTCTATCACCTATTAAAAGGAGTTTCATGGTAATTCAGAGTGACTATAATCAATTCCAGTGTTGGAATGCAGTATAGCGTGATTCAGTCTTTGATGTTTTCTGATATTTGCTGTATACATAAAGTAAATTGATATTGATTGAAATTCTTTATTGCTTGTTGGGTAGCTGTCATTGCAGTGATGATTGCATGGGATTCTGTGTTGGTATTGTTGGTTAATCAATAATAGTACTTACAGTATTTGAAAAAATTAAAATTATTYTTAATAATAAGAATTATATTTGAGCTCATTATTTTGTGTCCAGTTTTCAATTGAAGGTGTGATTGGTTTGTCGTGGGGATTTGGGATACCAAGGTTTGATGTAGTAAGAGGCACAGTAGTGGATTACATGCACTRCATATGTGAAGGCGTTGTTGACCAACTTCTGTCAAAGTGGTTTAACAAGTCCAAGTCCAAAGAAGACTACTATTTAGGATCAAAAGAGGCAGAGATAAGTGTGGAATTGAAGTCTATCAAGCCAGTAAGTGACATCACTCGAACCCCACGGGCTTTAGCAGATGTTAAAGATTGGAAAGGTATAACTCAATAACTTCGAGTAAAACTGTTTTGAAATATCATGTATTCTGCAGACATTATTATTATATATYGATGTAAATATTATTTTAAGCAGGGTATTGCTTAATTCCTTCTGTCATTCAATGCTGATAAATGACTAGAGTTATAACGGAAGGAACTYATTCATTGAGTTATTGTCATGACAAGCTGGTTATGTATGATCACCTAAAAAATATTCATGGCATTATGATTGTGAGGCGAGTTAATGTTACTGGCAATAATTAAAAAAAGATGTTATTGCAAGTTACAATACGCAATTCAACATTTAGAGTGTTTCTGTCTATGTTTGGACACAGGCTTTCTTTTGTTTAAGCTGGAAATCATCATTGATATATATTATCTAGGTTCTTTGCATGTTTGCATGCGCAAATTAATAAAATTATCACTATTTCCTTTCAGCATCAGAAAAAAGAGCACTTTTGTTGTATTATGCTGTGCCACTTCTGTCACCGTACCTACCTCCTGACCACCTGTTGCATTTAATGATGCTATGTGGTGGAGTGTATAGACTTCTACAGCAKTCCATTTCTGTGGTGGAGCTTAAAGAAGCAAAAAAGTGCCTGAAACTGTTTTGTGCCCAAGCTCCCACAATGTATGGTAAGTAGAAAACCAGCACTATAGCACTATAGATACATATAATACATAGATACTACAAATGTCATGGCTCAGGCAATTTCARCACATGCAATGGATAACGTTTTGATGTATACTATTTTAACTTTGTTTTGTTCATTTATAATTTTAATAAATGTCAATTGGTTATCAGGTAACCAATTTCAGACGTTCAATGTCCATCAACTATTACACCTTCCCGAAGTAGTTGCAGACCTCGGTCCACTATGGTCCAACTCCTGTTTTYCTTTTGMAGACTACAATGGAGACTTAAGAGATCTATTCCATGGGTCAAATAATGTTGATGGCCAGGTACTTAATTTAGTGGTTGAACTTTGTGTATGTCATATGATTTCAATACTATAGATATTTGATTACATTAATTGAAAGCAGAAAACATTACATTTCAAATGTACAAATTACAAGAAAATATTTACTCATGGAATATCTCAGTTTCAACCAGATGTACATAATTATACTTACCCGTTTATAAGAACCTTTTTTTTTCAAACTTAGCCTAAACGGGTTCATTGCTTAGTGTAATTTTAGGTTCTTAAATAGGTTCTTATTTATTTGATCCTTATATAATAAAATTTTACAAGGTTTTCAAACATTATTTATACCAAATTTAGAAGTGTATAGATATGTTTTTTCGTGTCATTAGGTTATTTTCTATAATAAGCTATCTATAAGAWCCTGCTTCAAATTTTGGGCTTAAGAAAATGGGGTCTATTTTGATATTTTTAGGCTAACAGTTTCTTAAATATACCGGTAGGTAGATATATAATGTATTTTATCATTAAATATGCTAATTAAGTTTGTCATATTGTTTTYAGWTTATGACAGCAGTATCAGTCATTCAAAAATTGCCAGAAATAGCAAGAGCTACTACAACATCGCCCAAGGTTATGAAATTTTATGAAGAAMTAACAAGTAAAAGACACAATTCTTGGTAACAAATACAACTAATTTGATTTATACCCTTTGCATGTATTTTAATAATTGTATATGCATTTTATGTAAACGTGTATGTACATTACTGTGCCTTCTTTAGTGCATCACTATGATATAATAATCCATRATATACACATGAATACATTGGTCTTTCGATTTTGCACTAATTCTAACAATGACTTCCATTCATCTGCTATTTATTATTTATTAATTCAGACTTATTGTTTTCCTTTCAGTTCGCTGAAGGAAAGTATATCAAGTGACATATATGTAATTGGCTCACTTGAACGAATGTGGAGCAASTCTCAGCTTATATCAAATGAACAACTGAGCACACTACCCAATAGACATGGCAAAGTATGGCTTTTCAGAAGATGCTGGATCCGAGGAATAGTGTTTCACRGTGAAAACTACAAAAGAGTTGTTGCCAGAAATGACTACACAGTGGAATTTGAAGATCCGGAGCACAACATATGTTATGGATCAATCCAGACATTTGTTAAAGTACAAGAGAAATGTTTGAAAGTAATTTGTAATACTACTAAAAAATGTTCTTGTCAGTTGTCCTCGAGGTACCTTGCTATTATTGGAATTTTAGATCTCGATGAAAGTCAACTACCTAAGTTTAGAGGACATAAATTGGTCAAGCACATATTAAAAGTAAAGCAGTCTGACAGGTATATGAAGTCAACTTTACGTACTTACAATTGTTATATAATATGCATGCCAACTGTTATTTGGTTAAATTGATAATTTATAACTTATCATCTTACTTTTGTATTGATTTATAGGTCAATTGCTGTTCCAGTGGAAAATGTAAAAAAAAAGTATATGAGAGTGGATGTGTCCTCTGGCTCATATCTTTCTTCACTGCCAAATCCATATGAAAAGGACTGACATGCTATAAGCTGTTTAGATTCAAGTGCACATATTGAATAATTGTAAATATAGCAACTATCTACATGTATTTAACATCTCGATATAAGAAAACACAATTAGTTTTATTTTATAGTTGTTTTAAAATTGATGATTCCAGTTCAATAGTGACATAGGAAATAAATAGTATCTATTTATCACTGCATAGCAAAAACATAGCAGTTCAATTTCAAATTGTAAGGAACATAGTAAC